GATACACGACAGGGGAGTCTCCGTCACCGCCGCAACGCGTTATAAAGCCCCGCGAGGGGGGACGTCCACGCCTGGTTACCCGGCGGTGGAGGGGATCTTAGTTATTATCTCACTGTACCTTATCTGTAAGCGCCGTGAAAAAATTTACAAATAAAAAAGTCCGTGTAGAAACATGTTGGTCATATACCATTCATCCTTGAAAGACATATTATATCGTAGCCTAAATTTCGGTCATTCCAGTCATCCGTGTGAAAGACTGATTAATATGTAGACTAAATTTTCGTCATTTATGCGGGTCCATTTCCTTGACATTAGTTATTTGGTAGTGTAGCACCCCTAATTTGAGGTACACTGGGTTTATTTTTGTTTAAATGTAATTTGTATAAACACTCTTTTGTCTTTATTCTACATGAAAATGTTAGAGATTCCATTCAAATCTGTTGATTATTCATATCTTCCTCAGGAATAGTATGTTGAGGTTTTAATGCTAAATGTATATCATTTTCTCACAGGATATAGAATGAGACTACACAGTTTTGATCCATTGTGTATGAATAAATGCTTCAGCTCTTCAGACCAACATAGTAAGATGTGGTATCGGTCTGGTCTGTTTAATAAAGCAAATCTGCCACTTTTATATTGTAGAATTTGTAAAATAAAAGCAGTCTTTAATTGTTTGTCCTAAACATAGCAATATATGCTTTTGAAATGTAACATGTCTTTGAAAAAATAACAGTATACAGTTTATATTGTGTATCACCTTTAGCTTGAAAATACATAGATGTGTTTTTTTTTACCTATAAAATAAATAAATATACAGAGAGACACTTTATCGATCCCAAATTGGGAAATAATTTTACAGCAGCAGTGTGTTCAGGTATTACAATATTTAAAGTTGGAATAAAGCATAAACTACACAACACAAGTATAATGCAATCCATGAGAGAAGTCCGATATTTTCATGAAAACTTCCCAGGAGTGACCGAGTGGACTCCGGAGTTTGCTGCATGAGTTGCACTGTATGATATGTGGTGTAGTGGGCTGTCACTCAAAAACTGAGTAGCCAATGGAGATGCACCCCTGAAAGTCCCGCCCACCTGGGACGTTTGTGTCAGAATCGAAAACAAAAAATGAGGGAGTACAAACGAGAAGAGCTGCAGTGAGAGCAAAAGTCGGATCATTGAGAAATTGAAGCAAAGAGAACAGCAAACAAAAATATATGTTAACAGAAAGAAAAAAATACTTATAGTTTACATGATTACACAAATGATTTGTTTGCAACTTATAGTTTTATTTTTTTCTATTAAACTCTTGCTTGATTCTGATTAAGTGTTGCTTTATCTTTATGAAATAAAAACTAATCTCATATCTTGTAACATGGCAGTTGTATTCAGGTGTTATGAAATAGAGAGAGCTGAGGCAGGAAATAGTGAAAAAAATACGTTCTGATGAAATGTTTCTTGTGCAATGATCTGTCCTAAATATTGCATTAGGGAAAAACCAACTTTGCAAGCCAGTACTTCATGTACTCTTGATTCTTTATGAAAAACAAACTGCATTAGAAATTAAATATAAAAAAAGCTTTATTAAGTTAGAAATTACCAAATACAAATTAAATGTAAAAGAAAATAGCCTTTTCCACACATCCAAAATATGTCGTAATTTACATATATCTAAACAAATTTATATATTATATACTGTATAGCTGTATATCAAACATTTTTTGGGGTATATAGCAAATGATTCATCTTATAGGCATACATACTTTTTGTACCAAATGTTAAGGAAATACATCCTATAATTCAATGTATGAGTCAACACAGTGTATCAGTTTAGTTGGTTGGCCAGAGACCTGAGTTCAGGCTCATCCACCTCTTTTCCCGGCACGCTGCCGCTCCTGTCCTTGTGCTTGCTTTTGAAAGGCCTCCCGAGTTTAACCGAGAGCGTGTTCAGGACGGAGCTCTCGTCCGGTGAAGAGCTGCTGCGGCTAATGCGACCACTTCTGGCGAAGGTAGACGTGGTCCTGCTCTCGGAGTTGGTGGCCTCGAAGAGCTTTCCCATGAAGCTGAGGCCGGCGTTGCGGATGTGGGAGCTGCCGGCGAACACGTACAGAATAGGATTGATCGCACTGCTGAAGTAGGCAAACGCTGTGACATTTGGACGGGCTGCAAGGGCGGCATCAACAGTGGATTTACTGTCCTGCAACAGACCCACTACCTGTTGGAGAAAGACGGGGGAGGGTGGTTAAAACAAAACAAGCCTGGTCAGAACCTTTAGACAAGATAAGATAAGAAGTACTTTATTGATCCCCAGTTGGGAAATGTTTGTGTTGCAGCAGCAAGGTTGTGTTGTTCATGTTCACTCCATCAAAACACATCACCCCTGTTGTTTGTCTTTAAGGAATACTGTTCTGACTCACTACTTTATTTTTCAGTCAATTCTACTTCACCATTTTTTCTCAATTGGACTTAAGCAACTGTCCATAAAAGTCGGCACTTTCACCATCAGTTTCACATTAATAGCTATGAGTCACTTGGACACTAAATGTAAAAAAAAAACTGTTGAGTTTTAGTCACTTCCTACAATAACGAAAAACAGCAAAGCAGAACCAACTGCATAGCGAGAGTCGAAGAGTTCATTTTGCAACAGTATGCAAAGTCTTACGACATAGCCCTGTTTTAAATACAGCGTTGGAGTTTTCTTATCAGATTAGGGAAATAGTAACCCTTTTTGAAAATGGATTGATGATCATATGTCAAAGTAAACAGCACTGAAATTATGGAAAATATTGATTTGTGTTTGTATATTTTAAGTGTATTGCATAGAAATGTTGTTAATATTTTACTGAAATGTCAGTTTGGTTGACTGATGAATGATGATATGAATGGTTGAAGGTTACTTCCTAAGCATTGGTTCATTTCATAGACTGTCAAGAATGGATTTGACCACTTCGATGTCACATTTGTTATTTAATGCTGTGTATTCCCACAACATCTTGGCGGGAAACACCACATACCTGAACATAAAGCATACTTTTGGCATTTAACGGAATCAGTATCTATTTCTGGCCCATTTAGGTCAAACTCATCAATATAAAACTCACCTCTATGATGTTGACGATGTGATACGGCAGCCAGAAAACTGCAAAGGTACAGATGATCATCAGGATGAGGCGGCTGCCTTGTGCTCGGCGCTGGAACTTGGCACTCTGCAGACGACAGATGACGGAGGAGTAACATGTGTTGATGAGGGAGAAAGGCAACAGACAGGCCATGATGGTCTCAAACAGGTACTGGAAGACCCGGTGACCCTTGCTCTTCCAGTGGTACGGCATGCAGAAGCTCAAAGAGATATTGTTTGGGAAAATCTTCTTCACATTACTTACAGAAAAAAAGAGGAAAAACACACAAATATGAAGTCAATGTTAAAGTAGATATACCATGCAGAGTCAATTCTGTAACTTAATTTAATAATGTTTTAATGGATCTACTAACCCTTAATAACAGTATAGCAAATGTCGGCAATTTCCTTGAGTATATTATTATTATTAAAATGTGTGACAATGTAGAAACACAGCATTTAATTATGCTTTATATGGAAGTTACAAAACTATGAGGCAACCTTAAATTGCATTCGATATGTAAGAGCATGAACACATACACTGGTAAAAAACTGTTGTTACTATATTTTAAACTCTTGCCACACCATCCAACAATTTTAATTTTTATTAATACTATAAAGTCCAAAAAAGAAATTTGAAATGTTTTCTCACTTGTTGAAAAGACACATGTTTATGATCCCTTATTCAGAATTTTCAAAAAATCTCTTCAAATTACTACAAAGTTAACGCCGTACCCTTTACTTTTTTTGTTGTTGTAAAAACAGATATCAATTTGATTGACTTCAGTTTGTCAGCAACCATTCAAAACTAAACTTTTCGAATAAAGAAACGTAATATATTTAAAGATACGACATGTTAGCCTCACCTGCGGTAAAAAGGCATCGGCAGTGACATGAGGAACGCCAACACCCATATGACGAGCAGCAGAATCAGGAGGGAGCGCTTGGTTCTCATCCTCTGGGACAGAAACGGCCTGGACACGGCCAACCAGCGGTCCATGCTCATCAGGCAGATGAGGTAGATGGAGACGTACATGTTCACACTCGATAGGTAATGCACCAGCTTGCATGCTGCCGAGCCAAACTCCCAGCCTCGGCCTCCAGCCAGGTAGCGCAGGAACAAAGGGGCGCTGAGCAGCACGAAAGCATCCGCCATGCTCAGATTCAGCACCAGCAAACAGGTCACTGAGCGCTTCTTTACCCGGCACAACACTGTCCAAACAACAAACAGGTTCCCAGGGAAGCCCAGAACAAAGGCGAGGGTCAAGATGGCGATGCCGACCATGTGGTTGATGGACAGAGGAAGGGAGAAAGAAGAAGACTGCTGGGAGATGGTGGTGGTGATATTGGACGCCATCAGGAAAGCCTTAGAAGAATCTGAGTGAGGCTTTGAGAACTGTGAGATTTACACAACAGAAAAAAAGACAGGAAACAGGATATGTTGAATTAACGTTTGTTAGGTTCAAATGTGTGTCAACGCTTTGAGATGTCACCCAACATGTTTTTTCCTGTTCTGCTACTTTAAATCTACACTACATATTTACGGAAAGTGGACCTGCCTGTTATCAGCATAAATGGACCTCAACATATTATTAACTGCCTCTTTATTTAAAGGATTGATACTTTTACAAGTGGTGCATGTCCTGCCTTCTACAGTGATGTGACAGGGTTTCATAGATATATATATACATCTGTAAGACTTGTCTGCAGCAAACAAATAGAAGATTACTGTATATCATGAATTTTAAAAAGTATACTTTGACCTGTCGATAAATGTATTATTTCCTGCATTTTGTCCCTATTTCGCAATTTGTGCCATTTATAAGGACACTAGTGAAATGTGGACAGAAAGATAATTTTTCTTATACCAGCAAGTCAGCACTTTATTATTACAGGTACATTTTCCTTCAGTCTGCCAAATTATTATGAGAATGTAAGTTCTGTCACATCAGTTTTATACCAAATGATTACCAAGACGCAGTGGCGACTGGTCATTAGGGCACAGCCCCACCTAGTGTCAGCAGAAAGTAATTCAAATAATAATTCCAAATAAATGCAAATAAATGCAAAAACAATACATCTTAAAATATATTTTAAGATCATGTTTAATCATCTGATTCAAGCCCCGATCTAGCCCCTCTCTCTCACTGTCAAAGTGAATGGTTGCTGTAAAAACTACACTGCGCATGCTCAGAGTATTTTTCTATTCAATGTGTGCGGCAAAAAATTAATCACCATATAGGGCTCTGTGCTGACATACCTACCATACGTCATCTCATAATTCAGAGAGCTGATTGGCTGTAAGTACGTGTGCCGCGAAAATAGTAGTTGTTTGTGAAGAGGAGACGAGAGAGAGCAGCGTATAGAGTGGCAAAGTCACGCCCACCTACTTCCGCCCCATGGGACCTTATTTCTGAAAAATTATTTATTGAAGTCAATGGGGAGAGAAAGATTATCTTTCGATCCCGTTTGAATTGTGCCATGAATTACACATGTTTGTCAATCTTAAAAAATCATTTCCATGTAAAAACAATCACAGTTTGTCTTAAAACTGTTGAAATATAAGACTATGAAAAATACTAGAAAAACTAGAAAGACTACAAATCCCAGAGTCGCGTAAGTGAATTTAGCTAGCTGACATTCACGTAACACATTACACTCGTGTTACTCACCGAAACCTTGTAAAGCCGGTCCCGCATGCTGGAACCGACTAACTCCCCTTTTGTGTATGTTCAGCTCTCAACATGGCCAGACTTGTAGTGTTTTTCACCTCTTTTAATACTTTTCGCTTCATTCTGAAAGAAAGAGGTGAAATGTGCTAACGTGTCGGCCATCTTGGTGTTGGTGACGTATGCAAGAGTTGTAGTTCATTGAGCGCTTCACACAAAAAAATGTGTTACTTCACAGTTTTACGGCACATGTTTATGTTTTTGACTTGCAAAATTATCTTTTAAATTGACAAACATCATATGTGTAATTTGTTGCACAATTCAAACGGGATCAAAAGATAATCTTTCTCTCTCCATTGACTTCAATACATACTTTTTCCGAAATAAGGTCCAATGGAGGTCCCCTGGAAGGGGAGGGACTTCGCCACTCTATAGCGATTAAAATCAGTAAAACGGAAGGAAAATGAATGAAGTTGACCATCTACTTCAGCTTTGGTAAGTTCATTTTATGTCATATATTTTGTTGATCTTCTGTGTTTTGCCCAGGCTAATGCTCTGCTGGATCGATTGATATTGTGACCTCAGTGATGAGTGTCTGTGTTGTCCTTATATCCCTCCCTCTGTACCACCTATAGCTATTTGTTTACGTGTTTAAAAAAGCACCAGAAGCTTATATATACACATCTAAGTTGTTCGTGCCCCACCACTTTTGTACATATAAAAGAAGGCCAAGAAGGCAAATAAACTGTGAAATTAAAATCTTTCTAATCAGCTATCTCCGAACAGAAAGCAACAGAAATCTGCACTCGTTGTGAAGCAAAACAAGAATAATATTCAAAAATAGTTATGTAATTATGGAGCCCCTAAAGGGACATGGAAAACAAAAAAGAGAGAAAAAAAAAGTCGGGATAACGGTTTGAGAAAAAATAAATAAAAAATAAAGTCAGGATGACGAATTAGTTTCTCGTGCGCACGAGAAACTAATTCGTCATCCTGACTTTATTTTTTTTTGTTGAGAAAGTTACCGCCAAGGAGGAAGTGGAGCACAGGAGACAACCATTTCATTGCAGACTGTTATGTTTACTTGGGGAAATGACAGTGCATACATTATTTGAGATATATTTCGAACTCTGACTTCATTGTATGGGCATCTCGGCCAGGGGTCTACTTGTTTAAGCACCGGATTGGCAAAACAGGAGAGTCTGTTTTAAAGGGAAACAAACACTCAGAACACATGCACACGGAGCTGAGCAGAGCTCAAACAAATTCACATCAATCATGCAGACTGGTGACCGGACATCTCCTTCATAAAACTAATAAAAGGGGGAGTAATCGGGCAGTTTAATCTGTCTGTCTGTCTGTCTGTCTGTCTGTCTGTCTGTCTGTCTGTCTGTCTGTCTGTCTGTCTGTCTGTCTGTNATTCAAATCTGTTGATTATTCATATCTTCCTCAGGCTAGGAATAGTATGTTGAGTTTGTAATGCTAAATGTATCATTTTCTCACAGGATATAGAATGAGACAACTCTCATTCTATATCCTGTGAGAAAATGATACATTTAGCATTACAAACTCAACATACTATTCCTAGCCTGAGGAAGATATGAATAATCAACAGATTTGAATGGAATATCTAACATTTTCATGTAGAATAAAGACAAAAGAGTGATTATACAAATTACATTTATTGAAATTTGAACCAGAAGAAGAAGTCTCAAAGAATGTTTTAAATAAAAGGACATAAAACAAAAAGGTGGATAATAATAACATCTATTAAAGGTATATGTAAAGACATTTAGTCAAATTAAATGACACTGAGCCATTGATAAGTAACAGTAACTTCAGCGTGGATGAAGCTGGTGCAGGTCTTTCTTCATGCCCCCCCTCCGTGCTGTCCCCTCAGAGGAAGTGGGAAAACTATGGGCTCAGAACAGTCTCATAATACACACATGCACACAGAAGGATTCAAACTTGTAATTCATGATCCGCAAAAGGATTCACACTTGTATTTACGGATCCACACTTGTGTTTTTCAATGCACACACAAATGTGTTCCGTTTCATATACATATAAATAAAATCCAAATACAGAAAAAAGTTTTACATATGTATTTTTGATCCTCACATATTTGTTTTCCNGAAGACTAAGAGGCGCTGTGGCTTAGTTGGTGAAAGCGCCTGTCTTGTAAACAGGAGATCCTGGGTTCAAATCCCAGCAGTGCCTCAGATAGAAGAACAGTCAGAACACTTTTAAAATAAATGTGAAAGAATCCAAACATCTAGCACACCTGTACATCACAGCAGACAAGTTAGAGGTATGTACTATTTGTAAAAAAAAAAAAAAAAGACCAAAATCTTCTTCTAACTTCTAACTTAAACCTATTGAACTGGTTCTTGAGATTTAATACACGTTTTGAATCCCTAACACTTCAGGGCCTTAGATAACAATAGTTGTTGTTGTTGTTGGGCCAAATTCATCTGATAGACACAGGTCATTAATACTAGGAAGTTTCCCTTTATCTAATTATAGTCAAGTGCAAGAACAAGAGGCTCTGTGGCTTAGTTGGTGAAAGCGCCTGTCTAGTAAACAGGAGATCCTGGGTTCAAATCGCAGCAGAGTCTCACATAGGAAAGTGTCTTGAACTGTTTTCACTATGAAGACATAATAAGAGTCCAATAAGCTACTGCAAACAACCTTAAGGTCCGCTTTTAAAAAATATCTAGTTTACAATTGTCAAAGGGCTTCTCTATCTTTATTCTAAATCACTCAGACCCCTAGGTAACACGATTAGTTATATGAGCAAAATTGATGTGATAGAAACAAGTGATAAATACTACTAATACTTTTTTGCTGTATCGATTAATGGCGCTGTGGCTTAGTTGGTGAAAGCACCTGTCTTGTAAACAGGAGATCCTGGGTTCAAATCCCAGCAGTGCCTCACACAGGAGAACCCTCTGAACTCTTTTAACAGAATTTAAACAGTCCAAAAAACTGCAAAGGTTTACTCAGGATTGCTAACGAAACCCCATTGAAGGTGTTGTTGAGAATCCATACACGTTTTGTATCCATTTTATTCCAACAACATAGGATACACTAGTGTTTCATCTACGGGCCAAACTGATGTGGTAGAAACAGGTTTTGAATAGTCAAATATTTTTCGCCTCCGGGCACAGTTGAGCTTCTTTCATAGGAACGAACCAGTTGTCTTTATAGAGTGTGTGTGCATGACATGCACACACACACCATGAGGGGAACCGAAAGAGATCTGACGAACCAAAGCACATCAAGAAGAAATGACCCAGGGTCATAACGCTTCTGACTGAGAGGATCAATACCACTCTCATGTCTGAACACTCAATATGAAGACGGTCCAGCTGCAGGGAGGAGGATTGCTTAGCTTAGGATGGAGCCAGGCTAGCATGTTGCTAAGCTAAGCATCATATTCACAGTACAGAGAGATATCGATCTTATCATGTAACTCTAGGCAGTAAGCAAATTGACATATTATTCCAACTGTTCCTTTAAGAGCAACTGAATTTGAAGTCTTCACTGTGTAAATCTCAGGCATACGGTTTCCAAAATGCTAAATTGATGTTAATTGCAGTTCATTTGCAAAACTAGTAGTTAAAGTTTTCAGATTGATGTTCTTACTGAGGCACTGCTGGGATTTGAACCCGGGATCTCCTGTTTCCAAGACAGGTGCTTTCACCAACTAAGCCCCAGCGCCACTTAAAGACCACGAACTAGAAAACCTAGATGTAGATAATACTGGATTGAAACCCTTTAAAAACCCAACTTCACCTTTGTTGAATTGTTCATTTCATTTGTGGTTAAAGCAGCTATTTTTAAATCATTCAAAGACAGCTTAGTTTATACCATAGCCTAAGAAGGGGATATTCAGTTTGTTGAGTCAGAACTAAGATACATTAAATCCCACAATCTGGTCTTTTGAAAGACAATAGTTGCCCTTGGAAACCAGATTTTAAAGCTACCAGATGGCTTTTCTATCCGAGGCACGGCTGGGATTTGGACCAACTAAGCCACAGCACCTCTTAGTGTTTGTTTACAGCTGAATGAAGACTATCACATAAGACACAATAGATGTGACCGATACTGTATTCAAAACACTTAAACACTTCTAGTTGAAGAGGTGCTGTGGCTTAGTTGGTGCGTAGGATTCAAGGAAGCATAGCGATGATTCAACACACTGAACTTACTTTTCCTTTACAGTACTTTGAATAAAATGGCAATCTCATTGATATAATTTGCAGAATCTTGAAAAGCCAAAGCAATTGCCTTGTTATTGTTTTGCCATTCGCACTGTTTAACAAATGTTCACCCTTCAGGACCAGTGTTTAGTAACTTCACACAGTTGTCATTAAAGAGCAAATCTGTGTGTTTGCACAATCCATGCACGAGGTCCAATGGGTTTTAGTGCAAGAATGTCACATTAAGAATTCCTTTAAAAAAGTATTGTGAAGGCTTCCATGGTTTCAGCTGCTTAGGCAGGGATGTTCAGTTTTTTGAATAAGCAGTAAGAGACTTTAAGTCCTACACACTGGTCCTTTAAAGGATAGAGATGTCTCACCTGTCTGAGGCACTGCTGGGATTTGAACCCAGGATCTCCTGTTTACAAGACAGGCGCTTTAACCAGCTAAGCCACAGCGCCTCTTATACTTGCTCTCGACTATAATTGGATGAAGGGAATGAAAAGGTTTGACTTCATAGTATTATTTACTTGTTTCTATCAGATGAATTTGGCCCATAGAACAACAACTAGTGTTATTTAAGGGCCTGAAGTGTTAAGGATTCAAAACTTATATTCATTCTCAAGAACTAGAACAATGGGTTTTGGTTAGAAGTTCTAAAAGAGAACATTGTTTTTACAAATAATACATACCTTTAACTTGTCTGCTGTGATGTAGAGGTGTGCTAGATGTTTGGATTCTTTCACATTTATTTTAAAAGTGTTCTGACTGTTCTTCTATCTGAGGCACTGCTGGGATTTGAACCCAGGATCTCCTGTTTACAAGACAGGCGCTTTCACCAACTAAGCCACAGCACCTCTTGTTGATTCTCTCTGCTGCATGAAAACGATCAAACATAGATGTGAACAATACTGGATTAAAAAGCCTCAAATCTAAGCTTTGCTTTTTTTTCTACATATTAAGTCAAAACACCGTTCTTGTAAAACAGAAGAGCCTGGGTTCAAATCCCAGCAGAGCCTCACATAACATATGGATCCTTTGGAACAAGTGTTAAGCATTTAGTGGATCCACATTGTTATCTCTCAAGATCAGAGTGGTTGGTGTACATCAAATCCTACATACTGGTATTTTGAAGGATATAACCTGTATTTCTTTCTAAGGCACTGCTGGGATTTGAACCCAGGATCTCCTGTTTACGAGACAGGCGCTTTCACCAACTAAGCCACAGCGCCTCTTTTTGCTGTTGCAGCTGCATGAAAACTATATTATGAGACACTCTAGATGTGACCAATACTAGATTTAAAACACTTAACATGTCGGCATTTTTTATTTAAACGCCTTTCTTGTAGAACAGGAGGACTTGGGTTCAAATCCCAGCAGTGGCTCACACAAAGCACCAATATACACATCCTACGGGACGAGTGTTTAGTGCATCTACATTGTTGTCACTTAAGATCCAATCTGTGTGTTTGCACAATCCATGCACCGGGTCCAATGGGTTTTATGGTAAGAATGTCACATTAAGAATTCATCTGAAAGTCCATTTAAGGCCTCCATGGTTTCAGCTCTAGGCAGGGATATTCTGTTTATTGAATAAGCAGTACTTTAAGTCCTATCTATATATATATTATGTCAAAGCTCACATTTGGAGCACTTAATGTGAATTAACGAGGTTTAAATGTCCTTTTTGTGTATTGTGGAACATTTTCCGTTGTTTTTGATGAAGGAACTAATATTAGAAACCTCTTTGTTATTTTTGCTGACTTTTGGTTTGTTGTCTTGGTAGTGGCTCTTCTCTGGAACAATCTTAAATGAACTGTGCAGCTTGTTGGGAGCGCGTAGAGCGAGGAGTGACCTGTTATGTCAAGGTTACTTAGACCTGGGGACATAAAAGCAAATACGTGTTTTTTCTCCAAAACGTCAAAAGTGCATTCCCTGAAATGTCATCCTATTCCTTCAATCCAAGAATTCAACTTCTAAAAATAAGAAGAAGTGATTTGTGTACAGTGATGCTGACGGTCACTGTATCTGATGTTATTCACTACAACAGATCTAAATCACTACGGACTGATGACAATACTATTTGGTCAGAAACGGTGCAGGTCTTAAATATCAAATAGGCGTCACTGAGATTGAGATTGAACTAATTGTATGTGTAGTTTAAAGATAACAGTTATGCATTATACCTTAAAAACATACTTGTAAGTGAAATAAATTAATGTAAATTTAATAAACGACAATTTATATTCAATATTAAAAAATCTAAAGCAGTCAGAATCAGAATATGTATTAGTCCCACAGACGGGACATTGAAGTCGTTCTGATTGTTATAACGAATGCAATCACGTTTACAATAAAAAATGTTTGGTGTGACCTAGAAGCCATTACTTTAGAGTGCTTTAAATAAAACATATATTTAAAGCAATTATTCGCTACCTAGCTTTTTAGATGGGTAGCTAATGTAAGCTAGCTAATAGATAGATAGTAGGTTGGTAGGTAGGTGGATAGATAGTTTTCTGCTATGTATTTGAACATCAGCTATCTTTTCTTTAGCTCAGTTGCCATCGAGGCATCACACTGGTCCGGGTAGCTTGCAAACGTGTTCCTGTCCCGTTACGTGCATTGTGCTCAATATGATTCGGAAAGACGGTGATTCCACTGTGGAAACGGGCCATATTTCCTCCACGATGTACACTGCAACAAGCCCGTTTTTCTCTTACCTTTGTCTTCCCGTCGGGCATTGAGAGTTATTATAAACTGTCCACCTGAGGTTTAGTATGTAGTTCGACCGGCTCATGTTTTTGTAGCTTCTCCTCAGATTTCTGATCAAAGACGTCACATTAAAACACTGGTGATGATTCCACCTATACTTCGTTAATGGTGGATTTGTATAAATGGTGCTTTATTTTATACAAATCAAATGTCACCTTATTGTCATGTTACTCTTGGTGTTAAAACTGATTGTATGTCCATGTCTCAGCGGTGGTTAAATATTCATGCAGCGTTCTCTGTGTGGAGGTCCAGAGCACGGCATGCTTTTATCTGATACCAGAAACACACTCAGCCTCTGTTGTTTTCTGCCTGTTTAAACACACACACACACACACACACACACACACACACACACACACACACACACACACACACACACACACACACACTCTTGTCCTCTCTGATCTCTGTGCACTCGTCCTGCAGGTCCGGATTCACAGAGACGGAGAGTGGACAAACACGTCTACAGATATATATATATATATATATATATATATATATATATATATATACAGAGTGCTTGTTATTTGGTCAATTTTCTCGATCTGAACATAGCTACTGGAAGCACTTTCTGCACCAGATGCATAGTCACAACAGATTTTTGATATACAGAATAAAGAAAGAAATCCACACACTGGTCCTTTGTTGCTTCAAATGAACATTGTATTCACTGTTTTTCTTTAATAGAAGACATTAAAACCCAGATTTTGTTAAAGATAAAAACACCCACTGTACAGTAAATGTGATTCCACGAATAGTCATGAACAGATACACAGTCAGTGAAAGGATACAGAAACTGTTCTTCTTTTTAAATAGCAAAAAGCATGATTTAAAGTGTGATCAAAACAAGCCAAAGAGACACAGCACAGACATGTCTGAAGAATACACAATGTATATTTACATGTTACTTGTTAGACGCTGTTATCCAAAGCAACTTACATACTCAATACTGTTGGCAGAAAATGCATTCACCTTTTTTACAAGGGTCCCTCTCTCAGTCTCCAGCATCATTTGTATTTTAAATATTCACATATAGTTTAATTTGGGTTGAACAGTCGTTATGCAATCAGGAGTAGATCGGGTGCTGTGGTCACATTTGATTTCACACATTATTTCCAAGCATAACGTCTGTAAGTAGATATACATTGGGAAATTATAGCTTGGGTTTAAAATATCAATAATATATCATTAATACTAATACACCACTGTATATATATATATATATATGTGTATGGACTTGCTATACATTAAAATACAATGTGCACATTTATTTAATTAACTTTATATATCTATTTTTTGCTTTTCTTTGAACACTTAAAACATTTTCGTTTATACAACCGTGTTTTATTTAATTTAATTTCTTTCTTCAACTTCTTATGGTTATAGGAATGTTTTTTTATTGTTGTTTTCATTTACTGTTGATTTGTTGTTCAATTAAGACAACAAAAATGGTTGGTTAATTATTAAATTCTAATCCAATATATTTGTTTTATTTAATTAAACATTTTTTATTAGACATTTAAATTGAACTTCTTATTTTGACTTAAACAAAACTTATTATTTATTTGTATTGCATATTTAACTTCTAATGTTTCTATAAATATTTTTTCAAGCCATTTATTTATATATTTTTCTATTATTTATTTCTAAAATGGAGTTACAAAACCCAGCTTCGCCCAGAATAAGTGACGTATTGTGATTAAATCTGATTATTAAATTAATTAATATAAAGAAATATGAATGCACA